ATTCATATATATATATTCAATATATATTCTGAGTGAATATATATATATATATATGGGCCATAGCTCCAAAGGAAAAAGTTTCTGTCACAATTTCTTTATGCGGAGATTAAAAAACTTACCTCAGGTCCCTTGGCTAGCAAACCTCTAGACAAAGTTTCAAAGCCAAGGTGGCTGGTTTCCGAGTCTCGGTACTTAACTCCTATAGTGCACTCCCTCATCACATACAGGTTAACATCCCAACTGGGAAAATAAAAGTGAGTAGTTCCCTTCCTGCTTATGAGCCTTCAGAGGCGGTTGGATTCCTCCAGAATGGAGTCTGTATTCCTTAGCAAGTGAGGCATGTACCCTTCACCTACCTCTTGCCTATTTCCTCAGCCTCATCTTGTGCTATTTTCTGCATATTTAAGTTTGTAGTTCTCAGATCCAAAGTGTGTTGTTTGAGAAATCAATCTACTTTTCTTCCTAGCTTGTCTCTTTCAATAGCATGGTCTACATTTCCTATCACCTACTGTTTTTATACCTCATAACAATACTTCCTCAATAATGATACTTTTACACCTCATACTACTTCTTCAGTAATAACATTTTGTACCTCATAATGATACATAATAAGGCACCTTCTCACCTGCTAAGTTAGTTGACCCTTCTAAATGCTCCTATGACTCTCCGAATTCTACTGCACTATGACAGCTTATAATAATAATGAATTTGCTGTTTCTTTGCTTGTTGGGTCATATTTTTGGTGATAAAAATATCTCTGGCTTACATTAGGTTAATAATAAATACTTAACCAGGCTGAATGTGAAATATGAGAGTCAGTGTATAAATATAGAGAAGAATTCTTCCCAAGGAAATATTTTTTCATGAATTAGTCTAGTTGATTTGATGTAAATTCATCATATTTTCCTCCATCTATCACTGTTAGAATTTTATAATAATTCTTAAAACAGAAAAAAACACTTCTAAGATAGGTTCATTTTTACAGGATTACTAGGACATATTTTTGTGACTTCTTGTATTCTCTGTCATTTTTGCACTGCAGACTCTTAGCTACACTGGACTTGTGGTTTCCTGTCTGGTAAATTGAGTGTTCATAAGTGACCAAGCACTTTCAAGTAGGATACACAGAAGAAATTAGGATTAGTATATCTGTGTGTTGAACCAGTATTTGCTGAACACCTAGTATGTTCCTAGCACCATTGTTGTGCCAGTAGTAAAATAGTGGATAAAAACTCCTTCACGCTGCACCTCCATGAGCCTCCAGCAGGCTGGGAAGGATAGAAGGAAAAACACTAATTCATAAGTGCTGATGTTGAATGAAATAGTGGGGGAGACTCTGAATGAAGCTGATGAGAAGGGGAATGGTTTGCTCGTCCTGAATGGAGTCAGTAACCCTTGCCTGAGAGGATAATAAGTAATGAGCTATTCAGACAACTCAACTGCCTACTTCCCCCATAATCCGTACTCTCTGCACATGCATATGGTAATCTACCATCTCAGTGAATGGTAGTTCCATAACTGGAAATCTTAGATGTATCTTTTACATTTTTCTTTCCCTTATCTAATCTATTAACAAGTTCGACCCTCCATTATATTCCAAATCCCTCGGCTTCTTTCCATCTTAGCTACCAAAATCCTGTTCCTGGTCATCATCGTCCACCACTAATCTCTTAACTGATCCACATCCTTCCAATCTAGCATCTCATAGTCTATGGTCCTTGCAAGAGAGAGATTTTTAAATATTTAAATCAGATGAATGCATTTCACTGAATGCAATACTTCATTATCCTAGGTTACACACTATTTTAGATATTAAAAGAAGAAAAACAATGACATCTACTCAGAATTTTTAGATTTATTTATCTTTCAGACTTTAGGATTTTTTTATCATATAGCATTCTTTTGCAAATTTGAAAATGCAAATGAAAGGGATTAAGGTGTTTCTGACACAGTGGCAACAACTACTAACTGATAGTGACTAAAAAATACCATTGATTTCAAAATACATTCGTGATTCACAGAGAAGGGTGCCTTAAATCTGTAAAATTAGGCTTCTCACCCTGGCCACAGTCTACACTCACTTCACGTCATTTCCTGCGGGCGCACTGGCCTTCGGTCTGCGCAATGATCATGTCAAGTTGATAGGCGTCTCTAGGAAACTCCTCTCTTGCTGGGAGCCTCTTCCTTCAGGGTTCAGGTTGAGGGACTCCCCTACTTGCAGTTTCAGCGCTAATGAGCCCTCCTCAAGAAGCCGTCTCTGACCATCTACTGTGAAGTTCTCCATCCTCCTGCTCATTATTCCTATCTTATCACCCTTATTTCTCTTGCAGCATTTATTTCAAATTATTCAGACTATGCAGACAAT